ATGAAGTAGAATAAATAAAAGGGAAATTGCCATAAATTTACATTTTTCTAGATAAAAACGACAATAATTAACTCATTGTTCCTCAGACAAAGACTGATAGGGTTACTTGAAATTAAAGTCCTCTTAAGTCTTAATCAAGTTTAAGAAACATTATCAAGATTCTTTCAGTTTTGTTTCCAGATTTTATCAATTTTGGTTTCGTATTTGGGTTAATCGAAGACTTTCAAATAATTTGAGAGGAGGTTTTTATTTTCTGGTTGAGATCTGTTTCTTCTTTTATAATCAATTTTAACCTCATAAAAAAAATTTACAAATTTTGTTTAAACATTCTTAAATTACTTATAAGTTTAGAGGGCTTAACTCATGTACTGAATAAGCGATTTTAAAAATATTTTATTGAGAGATTGGAACCTTTATCTAATAAATAATGTGGAAGATGTTGTCGTTTTTCTATGTTTAAAAGTGTTTAATTCTGATATTTCCTGTACTTTTCTGCAGCAGAAATGCTGCAAGACAGACAAGCCAATTTCATATGAAGATATACTTAAATTTTAACGTTTAAATATTAATATCATGTTAAACTAAGCGACACCCTATGACAAAGTGTCGCAATAAAAGAATCAGGAAAATGCGCGTGTTACATAAAGCAAAAAAACTGTTTTGAAAATGGAAACAAGAATAGTTGGATAACATTATGACATTATAGGATAACATTATGACATTATAGGATAACATTATGACATTATAGGATAACATTATGACATCATAGGATAACATTACCCTGACCTGGAATTAAATTATCCTTCTTAAACCAACCTTTACCTTTATTTTGTCAATTTATCTGAGTTTAGACAAAAATATATAGATACACATGTAGCATGTATTGTATATTTCACCGCCTTTTGACCAACATTACCAACCTTCGATTCCCCCAACAGAGAGAGGTTAGGGTACTTAACATCCCTTGCGACAGTATGTAAAATACCCACCCGTTCTGGGAAGTTTCCGGGGAAAAACTCGCGCATTTTCATCTCAAAAGACGAGAAATTGTGTAAAGCTACTTTTTCGGGAAATTAAAAATGTTTCTTAACCACGGGTTCCCTTGACCCATTTTGTAGAAAAAAAATAAAAAGTACAAGTTCGAAATAATATAGAGAAGTAATTTTTTTTTGGAAGATACAAACTTTGAAAATTCTCAAAATGATTTAAATTAAAACGTAAAATCATATAATTTTATATAATTTTACATGTCCTTGATATTTAAATCTATAGATATATTCAAATTAAGTTATTTTAGTTAAATCAATAGATATACAATTACAAATTGTTACATTTTTTATATGAATTAAGAAAACAAAATATTTTCTACATTCCTACCTCAACCCCCCCACTTTCTACCAATATCCACATGTCCATCATCTGTCAGTAGGTAGAGTAGATGTATTGATGAAAGCTTCATAAATAAAAATGAAAACAATAATATGATGAATTTCTCCATTAGATTAGGAAGATTAGTATTTGTATATCCAAGCAAAGAAGAATAGCAGAAAAAAAGGATTAAATTGACTCTGACGTAATTTCAAATGATAACATTCATTAAAAGGGTGACATGTCAAAAGTTTGTCATTCAGGAGGTTTTCTTTCAAGAGTTTGTCATTCAGGAGTTTGTCTTTCAAGACTTTGTCTTTCAAGACTTTGTCTTTTAAGACTTTGTCTTTCAAGACCTTGTCTTTCAAGACTTTGTCTTTCAAGACTTTGTCTTTCAAGACTTTGTCTTTTAAGACTTTGTCTTTCAAGACCTTGTCTTTCAAGACTTTGTCTTTCAAGACTTTGTCTTTCAAGACTTTGTCTTTTAAGACTTTGTCTTTCAAGACCTTGTCTTTCAAGACTTTGTCTTTCAAGACTTTGTCTTTCAAGACTTTGTCTTTGAAGACTTTGTCTTTCAAGACCTTGTCTTTCAAGACTTTGTCTTTCAAGACTTTGTCTTTCAAGACTTTGTCTTTTAAGACTTTGTCTTTCAAGACCTTGTCTTTCAAGACTTTGTCTTTCAAGACTTTGTCTTTCAAGACTTTGTCTTTTAAGACTTTGTCTTTCAAGACCTTGTCTTTCAAGACTTTGTCTTTCAAGACTTTGTCTTTCAAGACTTTGTCTTTTAAGACTTTGTCTTTCAAGACCTTGTCTTTCAAGACTTTGTCTTTCAAGACTTTGTCTTTCAAGACTTTGTCTTTTAAGACTTTGTCTTTCAAGACCTTGTCTTTCAAGACTTTGTCTTTCAAGACTTTGTCTTTCAAGAGTTTGTCTTTGAAAAATTTGTCTTACAAGAGTTTGTCATTCAGGAGTTTTTCTTTCGGAGTTTGTCTGTACAGCTTTTGTCTTTCAGGAGTTTGTTTTTAAAGCGTTTGTCTTTCAAGAGTTTGTCTTTCAGAAGTTTGCATTTCAATTTTCTATTCAAGAGTTTTCTATTCAAAAGTTTTTCTTTCAGCAGTTTGTCTTTCTGGAGTTAGCATTTTAAGGGTTTTCTTTCAGGAGTTTGTCTTTTAATAGTTTGTCTTTCAAGAGTTTGTCTTTCAAGATTTTTTATTTCAAGAGTTTGTCATTCAGAAGTTTGTCTTTCAGGAGTTTGCATTTTAAGGGTTTTCTTTCAATAGTTAGTCTTTCAAGAGTTTGTTTTTCAGGAGTTTGTCTTTCAAGACTTTGCCTTTCAAGAGTATGTCTTTCAAGACTTTGTTTTTCAAGAGTGTGTCTTTCGGAATTTGTCACAGCGCCGCAGTAACTGCTAGAAACTGTAGAAGCACTAGGGCAAAAGAAACAAATGTTTTATAAACAAAAAGTGGTTTCAAAATGTGGGTTTCATAGGCTTCATCGTTATCTCTGTCTGAACTTTAATTTTTCATAATTTTTTCCTGTCCATTTGTTAATATTTAAGTTTTACCCAGAACCTTACCGTAAAAATTTAGAATATTCTGATGTGAGAACTCTGGCTTTGTGGATATAGAAATCAATGCTTGATCTCGATCTTTTGATAATCTACGACTCGGAATCTCTATGAAGATAGATAACTAAGATTCCAATTCTTGGTTGCGCGCATTTCTTTTGCAGTGTAATTAGTTACACTTATACAGTTTAGAATTCGAATAATATTCTGTATAAATTTCAAAAGTGCTCACTGTAGATATCGAGACAAAGGAATCGAGAATTTGAGTATTCCAGCTCAGTTTACTTTTTCATGGATGAATTTAAATCACAAAATAATGTGCATGCATGTTTTTTTCACATTCTCCGTGGACCCTTAAAGGGACAGTTCCTTAAAAGTTAATGATAAAACCTTGATAATTCCTAACTGTTAGATTAAGTCTGTACCTAAAAACGTAAACTATCCTTTCACACCAATATTTGTATATTAATATCATACTGCAGCCAGCTTCAAAATAGCAAATTTGTGTGACAAAAAGCTTGACATTTGACTCAAACATCCTTTGATTAAAGTCTATTTTTATATTTTCTATGACTGTTTGATTAGAAACCTTTATAAATATTAAATGAACAAGAAGAAAAACGTCAGAATATCGTCAAAACAGTTGTTCAGGATTCTTCTGTTGATATTTCAAGGGAAGCTGTCTTGTTAGAGAAAATTGTTCAGTTAAAGCATTCAATAAAATAAGATTGGCTTCAAGACAAACTTTATTAGACGAGGGATGGTTGGGGCCCGGGGATCTTTAGCCACAAACTTTGATATTTTTAACTTAGACGATTTAATCTAACAGAATTCACAGTTTGAAATAGCAAAGCTCTATGGCATTGGGTGTCAAAGATATAAGGAATAGAAAATTTGAAAAGAGTTTGTTGGAAAGACTGGAAAATCAGAAAAGAGTTTGTTGTAAAGACTGGAAAATTAAAAAAGAGTTTGTTGGAAAGACTGAAAAATTAGAAAAGAGTTTGTTGGAAAGACTGGAAAATTAGAAAAGGTTTTGTTGTAAAGACTGGAAAATTAGAAAAGAGTTTTTTTGAAAGACTTGAAAATAGCAAAAGAGTTTGTTGGAAAGACTGAAAAATTTAAAAAGAGTTTGTTGGAAAGACTGAAAAATTAAAAAAGAGTTTGTTGGAAAGACTGGAAAATTAGGAAAGAGGTTGTTGAAAAGACTTAGTTCCTCTGTTACTTCTAATTTTCAATTTGTTCGTTTCATATAAGTCCACACGCTTTATTTACGAAACTGTTAACAGAGAAGGATGGTTTTAATTAACAAACACAATTTATTGACCGAACGAAGAACAAACGAGGAACAAAAAAGGAACGAACGAAGAACGAACAAGGAACGAACAAGGAACGAACTAAGAACGAACGAGGAACGAACAAGGAACGAATGAAGAACGAATGAGAAACGAACAAGGAACGAACGAAGAACGAACGAGGAACGAACAAGGAACAAACGAAGAACGAACAAGGAACAAACGAAGAACGAACAAGGAACAAACAAGGAACGAACGAGTTTGAATGGAAAAACTTTTTGTTTTTAATGATCGTCAAATGTTGACGTTCTAAAACGTGTTTATGATACATCAATATTTTACATTACATTTACATATAACATTTTATTGTTAAAATATATAGTCCAGTCCAACAAAAAGTATAACAAAGCAAATACGAAAAATCATCCTTTAAACAGGGCCCCTGTTTAATTGTGATTAGGAACATCTCTGAGCTTTAGGTTTGCCTTTGTGTTTTTTTATTCCAGAAGACTTTTGAATGTTAGGAATCTATTTAGATTTACATTTTGCTTGTCTCTCTGGCTGTTTGTTTGTCCGTTTGTATCAAACTATTTTTGTTTTTGCTAAATTTTGAAAATGCGAGAAAAATATTATTATTTTATATTGAACAAAGAGAAGATGCTCACAGAGCCACAATTAAAAGTTGAATTAGGAGATTTACACTAAGCGCCCTAAAAGCTAGTATTTATTTATTAGGGATCACTCCTTTCTTACTTAATATTTTATTTCTTTTAATCCTTAAAATAAAAAAAATAAAAACTCCTTTTTAATCCTATAAAATATTTCCTATTTTTGCTGACTTATGGTTCTCCATGTCAGTTTTGCTTAATTCTTTAACTCCTAGTCAGTAGTTTATATTTAAACTCTCAATCCTTAAAATATCAACACCTTTTTAATCCTTTATTTCCTATTTTTGCTGACTTATTTAAAATCTGTCAGTTTTTGCTAATCTCCTTAACTCCTAAACAGTATTTATACAACTGAACTTTTAAGCCTTAAAATAACAACACCTTTTTAATCCTATATTTCCTATTTTTGCTGACTTATTCACTATCTGTCAGTTTTGCTTACTTCCTTGCAAATATAATCCTACTTGCCTAAAATTTCAACTTTCTCAAACAAGAGTAGTGAACCCTGGCAAAAAAGCTTGACGAAATCGGTAAGAACAAATTTTTTAAAACAGGAAGAGAATATAAATAAGATTTTCTCTGTTCCTTCATACGCTATATAGTGTAATGAAATCTAAAGATTTCTACAAAAAAAATAACACAAAATTTTTAATCCTATAATGGTCAAACCGCACTATTTGTAAAATACTCCTGATAGTATAATCGTGCGTTTATAGGAGGAAATAATTTTTTCTTTTCTTATGTAAATTGTAAAAATGCAAATATGAGAATAAATGATTGATCTCGATATCTAACGTGGGCACAATTTAGTTATTAGAATACGGGATTTATCTCGATATCTAATGTGGGCACAGTTTAAATATGAGAATATTTGGTCAATCTCGATATCTAATGCGGGGTATATTACATTATAAATATATGAATATATGATTGATCACGATACCTAATGCGGGTACAGTTGAAATATGAGAATATATGATTGATCTCGATATCTAATGCGGGTACAGTTGAAATATGAGAATATAAGATTGATATCGATATTTAATGTGGGCACAGTTTAACTATGAGAATTTTTATGCATTTTAATTTTGTTGCATCTATTCATTAAGTTGTAAAATACTCCTGACAGTATAATCGGGCGGTTATCGTTTTTTCTCCCGAAGGAGGAAATAATTTCTCAATGCAAATTGTACAAAAAATATGAACCGCCCTTTCAGCACCGGAAACAATTCTACAAATTCCATCCTTTAAATTTCTTTTTTTTTAAAACCCATACAGGTATTTTTAAAACCGCAATTTTTTGTAATATAGTTAGACGAGAAGCCATCAGGACCTGAACGCTGGAGACAAAAGGTTCTGCATCACTGCGGATCTCAGATCTGCAACTTACTACACAGATAGTTACGGTAAAAAAAAAGATTAAGCGGACGGTTATAGTTTTTACGAAGGAAGAAACAATTTTTTAATGTTAACTGTAGAAAAAAAATTTTAATTATGAGAATATAAAATTGATCTCGATATCCAATGTGGGCACAATTTAGTTATGAGAATAAATGATTGATCTCGATATCTAATGTGGGTACAGTTTAAATATGATAATATATGATTGATATCGATATCCAACGTGGGTACATTTTAAATACGAGAATATATGATTGATCTCGATATCTAATGCGGGTACAGTTTAAATATGAGAATATATGATTGATCTCGACATCTAATGTGGGTACAGGTTAATTCTGAGAACTTTGATGCCTCTATTCATTCAGTTGTTAATTACTCCTGACAGTATTATCCGGCGGGTATAGTTTTTACGGGAGAAGAAATAATTTTTTAATGATAACTGTACAAAAGAACCGTTCTTTCACCATTGAAAATAATTCTACAATCTCAGCCTTAAGATTTCTTTTGTACTTTTCCTTTAAACCTATACAGGTATATTTTAAAATTGTAATATAGTTAGACGAGAAACCACCAGGACCTGAACGCCAAAGGATCTGGGAGAACCAAGAGGATCTGGGAGACCTCACAGCCGTAATCTTCGGTGAAGAATAACGGTAAAAAATTATAATTCCAAAGGTCCCTGTGAATACTGGATCCTGTTCATCATTAATAAGTCCTAAACCCTTTATCATACAGAGAGCAGGGGTGTGCACACGGACCATTTTTGACTGTAAATGCTGAAACTTTTGAACTGAAATTGACGTAAAAGTGCTCAATAGAATTCTAAGATCTTAAATTATGTAAACTCACTCCAGGTTTGGACCTACAATGTTAATTTTTTTTTAAAAAAGGTTAATTTCATAACTCCAAAAAAAAATTATTTTTTTCTAAACGTTAACTGCAGAATTAGAACGTCATCAACATGCTTAATTAAAACCCCGACGGACTCGAATTTTTTTTTCCTGTCGTCATGGTTCTCTCTTTATCTAGTTAAACTGAAACCTGGAGGACTAATGAGCGGTGAACCTCAGAGAACCTAGCGGATCCTACAGCTTCTTCTCTCAGCACATAATAACGGTAAAAAAATATATCTCCATAAGTCCCCGAGAAGATTGGCAGATTTCCTTCATTAACAATGAATTTTTAACCTTTTATATACAGAGAACAGGAGCGGGAACACGGATCATTTTGGATTGTTAAGGTTGAAACCCTTGTGCACGAAAACTAATGTACACGCTACTAGAATCCCTTTGTATCAAAAATTTAAACATCGAGCATGCAATGTCAGTTGTCTAAGTTTAAAGATTATCCCTTCACCATGTACCCATTAATTGAATATTTCGGTCATAAAACTGTGCTACTGTAAGCAAGAACTAAAATGCCAATTTTAAGGTTAAAACCACATTGCACGAAAACTCACGCACACGCTATTGGAATTAATTTCTAACTAAACTTAAACGTCGAGCATGCAATTGCATCTGTCTAAGTTTTAAGACCTTCTTTCCATCCTTTACCACTTAATTTAACATTTCGAATATAAAACTTCACTACTGCAAAAAAGAAACGCCAATTTGTTTAAAAAGAAAGATTTTTTATGTCCGCTTTGTTGAATAAAGAATATAGAAATAAAAACCCTCAGTTGAGTCGAGTCTCTATAATTGAAACGTCGTAATGAATAAATTTCTATTGATATTATTTATCCCTAAAATTATGAAGACTCCGGCTTAAAAAATCTGAATCTTTCTTCACACCCTGAATTTTCTCGCACAGTTAACTAATGATATCTTTTTACTGATTCAGTTTGTGGAAACTGTAACGCCTCCTGAACCGTCAAATCTCACCGCCACGAAATCATGATGTCTCAAGAAGAGGAGATAATTAAGCTACATCGATATCTCAAAATCCTTGCACAAAATAAACGTGCACCATACCCTGCTATACCTTGATGATTTGAGAGAAATGAAGAGGTTAAGCACTAATCTCTATTCAATATCCTAGACAGTAGCGCAGAACCAATGTTCTACGTGTGTCTGGTTTTTTAAGCAGAATGTGTTTTTTTTCAAATTGAAACTAAATGCTTCTACAACAAGCTTTTTCACATTTAACACTTCTTGATTTTGTTTTCCATAATTACGTCGGCTAATTAGCATCAAGACGACATAGTTTAACTAATGGAATGCCATACTAACGTTGAACTTTCAATGTTCTTCGTCAGTACAATTGTAGTTTCTTGCATATTGCATACATTGCCAATTCACCATTGTTACATAAAAACCTTAGAATGCTTGCTCAATCTGATTTTCCACATTAAATGCTCAATTATATGCAGACAATTTTTAAATCTTCTTCATCGACTAACTTTATGCAATTTATTCTATGCAGTTTCATTTTTGCACTATTCAATTTGTATGTTTTGCAGGATCCAAGTATCCCTAAATCAGAATTCCTAATGAAAGGAAAAAACGATAAAATTCATCCGTACGATTTTTTATTATTTAATTTGAGAATATATGTACACAATAGCATCGTTAAATAGTTGTATTAAATATATGTTAACAATTTTGTACAATTAAAATAATCTCGATACGGAGATAATAAATATTTAGATCTCAAAAAAATATTTTCATTTCTCAAATCTCAAAGCCGTAATGATTTTTTAATTATAAAAACACAGTTTGTTTGTTTTTATTTTCAACTTTTTTATATTTTACCTCCCATCAAAAATCTTGTTTTGTAAGTGTGTAAGTGCATAAATGCAATTGATATGAATTCAAAACCAGGATATGTTTTAAAAAGGCGACATGAGCTGAAATCCGGTAATTGTTTCAAAATAGGGATATGTTAAGAAATGAAATTAAGAATCATCAAAAACTAATTCTCACAACTTATTGTTAGTTTAAAGTTGATTTTTTTTGTCTCGATATATAGTGTTAGCCATTTTTTTTATAATTGTATGATGTAGTTTTGTTCAACTCGTTCAATTAGTCTTAAATTTAAAGATATACATTTCAACGATTGGAAAAGATAACTTTTCAGACTTGGCCCATGTCTAACACTCAGTGTTAGATATGGGCCAAGTGTTAGTTTTGGAACTAATTATCCCTGTAATATACAAGGCACACTGCACAGTTGTTGAAATCCTAATACCCGTTTTTGTTGCCAGTAATTACACCATTGTTACTAGATATGATATAAAGAAACGTATAAAAACTAGTATACAGTGGTATATACCTTAGACAGAGACACAGTTGTTCAATTAGGTACTCCCGGAGAAATTCAATATTATAAAACAAACCATATGTACGGAAAATAAAAACTACATTGAAGTTCTGTCTGCTGGAGTATGTAATTAATACATCTTACCCTTATGTCCAATTTTTCCCCCTTTAAATATTTAAATTAAAGTTAAAATTAAACAATTTTTCTTTTATTTAATTTCTTTACGTTTCCAAAAGGCTACAAACTCAGATTTTCTAATCCCTATATCTTTGCAACCCAAAGCCATAGGCTTTAGATATGTCAAACCAAGAATTCTGTTAGTTCAAATAACAACATCAGGTTGCAAAGATGTAAAGATTAGAAAATCAGTGTTTGTTGCGAAAACTCATTTCTTAACGACTAAACTTGTATTCTCTGAGCTAAAAACTTTAGAATGAAATATCCAGATATCCGATGGATTAGCTTCTCTGGAGTTTAAATTCATGTGTAGAACAAGCAATATTTAAACTGGATATTAAGAAAAAGAGTGGTTTAAGCCATTAAGTGGATGACGTCCATTCTAAAGTTTTCAGCTCTGAAAGGATTAAAAAACTTTTTTTTTAGATTTATATTTACCAAGGGCTTCATTCTTTTCATCTTTCAATCTTGAATAAGAGTCTTCAATAGAAAAGTAACAAAAAAGAAATGAAACTCATCTTTTTTTATTTTTAGAATTTCCAGAATAATATCTCTCAACGCTGGGAGAAAATCTCTTTCATGGGTTTCTCCAGGAATTACTTTCTGTGGTGAATGTTCAAGCAATTCTCATTAAACATTAAAAGATATTGCACAGATTATTGAAAATATATAGAATTCATTTTTCTCTTTAATTTCATTATTTCCTTCCTTTCCCCCTTTTTTTTTTACATATTTTCCTTCAAATTTTTCATCCTTTTCCAATTTTTCTGACAATTACATCGTTTTCGTCTTTTTTTCTTTTTTCATTCCGTTAGATACATTCATTTTTTCTGTCCTATTGGCTGACTTATTTAGATTTTTATTTTCAATTTAATAACCCGTTCTATGGATTGAAATTATAAACGGAGAACACACGTCTGATAATCTGAACAGGTAAACTGATTAGAAGTTTCTATAATACAAGTTTAGTTCGTTATAACTTTAGAATAGGCTTTTGATTGATAAATACTCGAGTATATTTAAAAGTTGGAAACTTTTTTTCTCTGCTAGCAGATTTTGATAGATCTGCATTTGCTCTAAGCTCCGGTTTCTTAAAAATAAGGTCTGGTTTCTTAGTGATTTGCATTTTGCTATTTGCTCTGGTTTCTTAATAATGTGCATTTTGCTTTTGCTCCGGTTTCTTAGAAATGTGCATTTTGCTTTTTGCTCCGGTTTCTTAGAAATGTGCCGGTTTCTTAGCGATGTGCATTTTGCTCATAGCTCCGGTTTCTGAGAGATTTACATTATGCTTTTTTCCCTCGGTTTCTTAGAAATGTGCATTTTGCTTTTAGCTCCGGTATCTTAAAATTGTGTTTTTTTTTTGCTCTAAGCTCCGGTTTTCAGCGATGTACATTTTGCTCTAAGCTCCGGTTTCTTAGATATGTGCATTTTGCTTTTTGCTCCGGTATCTTAGAAATTTGCGTTTTGCTCTAAGCTCCGGTTTCTTAGCGATGTACATTTTCCTCTTAGCTCCTGTTCCTGAGAAAGTTGCATTTTGCTCTAAACTCCGGTTTCTTGGGGATGTGCATTTTGCTCTTTGCTCCGGATTCTGAGAGATGTACATTTTGCTTTAAGCTCCGGTTTTTTAGCAATGTACATTTTACTCTAAGCNTCGGTTTCTTAGAAATGTGCATTTTGCTTTTAGCTCTGGTTTCTTAGAATTGTGTTTTTTGCTCTAAGCTCCGGTTTTTTAGCAATGTACATTTTACTCTAAGCTCCGATTTCTTAGATATGTGCATTTCGCTTTTTGCTCTGGTATCTTAGAAATGTGCAGTTTGCTTTTAGCTCTGGTTGCTTAGAATTGTGTTTTTTGCTCTTTGCTCTGGTATCTTAGAAATGTGCATCTAAGCCCTGGATTCAAATTGTTCCCTACCGTTAAGTTTACCAAGCAATATATATTTACTAGGAACGGCCAAATAAAGGGCGTTAAACAACTTTAGACCGTTTTCTCACAAAGGCTTAGTTATATATAATCCGATCATTGTGAAAATATTAAAAAAAAACGCTTTTAAGGAAAGAAAAGTTAACAGTTATAATTAAACAAAGAAAAACTTCATGATTTTTTCTTGGATTTTTTCTTGTGGAAGGACTGGGTCTCTTGTCATTGCTCCCAGAAAATGCAGAACACAATTGGTACACCATTGCCCACGGGGTTCCTATATTTTTAACTACTTCATGGTTACCTTCAAAGGATACGACTTTGGAGACAACTTAACGGATTTATGTCTTTCAACTTAACGTTTGGTTTCCACTGCTTTCCTCTATTAAAAATGAAAGTTTGACCATTGAAAGACTTATCTAAAAGTCAGTAAAAACAAAAATCAACCTGTATATTTAATTCCATAATCTCGAAAAAATTGTACAGACGTACGTGCGTATGTTTACAACAATCGAATGAGATTTTAGTTGAAAAATCTTAATTATTTAAGTCAAATTGCAAGAAACCCGTAATCAATGTTAAACAGCACTTTCACATTTAATTGTTCCGGCCATATGAACTCATGATTTATCGAAAAAGTAAAGAATTGAAAGTTCAGTGAGGCTGTTTTTAAAGTGATTCTTCATTTAAAAAAGAGGGGCAGGGTCGATTAACAACGTTACACTTTGATCTGATCAATATTCTTCTGATCATACAAAGCGTTTTAGGAATTCAGGAATAACAGGAATATTGACTACTGAACTAGCTTGGAACGGGAACAGGAACAGGAACATTGACTACTGAACTAGCTTAGAACAGAAACAGGAACAGGAACTTGGCAATGAAAAATACATCCTTTTTTTCTATATACATCTATCTTTGACACTGTAAAGCCATCCAACCTTTTAAACTCAGACGTCCTGAAAACCTAGTAAAAAACAACAACTTTAAGCTAGGATACCAGAATTTGAAGTACAACCTTTTTTAGCCAATGAAACCATGTATATTGAGGCTAAATGCTATACATGTATAGTGTTATATATATATTTTGTGCGCAAACTGTAACCCTTCGTGATTTAGTATAAATACCATGTATGTATTTATGTATTGATTTTGTACCATCAAAAGGTGAAATAAATCTTTACAGATAAAAAGTAAGTTTTTATTCTTATCATAGTTCTGTCTTTGTAGAGTCTATAATCAAAGAGTTTCTGGCTTTTTGAGAAAAAGAGATATTATCGTATAATGAAAAAAGTTAAACTCTTAGTTAAACTTTTCGTAGGTAGTCTTTGTTCAGACATATCTTATAGAATAATTTGAGTTTAAAAAGTACATAGTTATAAAAAAGAATAAATACTTCTATAGTTGGAGATTTTAACTTAAAGATTCAGATGTAAATCACTCTAAAATTAGACATTATTCGATTCTAGATTCTAGATTAAAAATATTAAATGTTCCAAATGCAAAAATGCAAAACAAGCGAAATTTAAATATCTATCTTAATAAACTCTTAAAATTACCTACTGATCTTGTAAATTAAACCCAAGCTATAATTTTATTCTCAATAATGTAAAGGAAGAAATAAACTCCTACATATATATTTTCTATAATATAAAGGGAGAAATAAACTCCTGCATATATATTTTCAATAATATGAAGGGAGCAATAAACTCCTGCATATATATTTTCAATAATATGAAGGGAGAAATAAACTTCTGCATATATGTTTTCTATAATATAAAGGGAGAAATAAACTCCTGCATATATATATTTTCAATAATATGAAGGGAGAAATAAACTCCTGCATATATATTTTCTATAATATGAAGGGAGAAATAAACTCATGCATATATATTTTCAATGATATGAAGGGAGAAATAAACTCCTGCATATATATTTTCTATAATATAAAGGGAGAAATAAACTCCTGCATATATATTTTCTATAATATGAAGGGAGAAATAAACTCATGCATATATATGTTCAATATTATGAAGGGAGAAATAAACTCCTGCATATATATTTTCAATAATATGAAGGGAGAAATAAACTCATGCATATATATTTTCAATAATATGAAGGGAGAAATAAACTCCTGCATATATATTTTCAATAATATGAAGGGAGAAATAAACTCATGCATATATATTTTCTATAATATAAAGGGAGAAATAAACTCATGCATATATATTTTCTATAA